CACACACACACACACACACACACACACACACACCCCATACTCCCACCCAGTTTCTTCACAAGGGACTCAATTGATGCTTTGCTGACATCAGTAAATGCATGCCTGTATCAATGCCCAGATGTGCAGATGTGATAAAGCCTTGGAATCCTTGAGAGGAACAGTAATGTGGCCTACTTCAGCATCTCAATGATCCTCAAATTATTTATCAAGTAAGTGAGATCATCTCACAATACAATATTTACTTACAAAGGGGATTTGGGATAAAGTGTGAAGGCTTTAGGTTCAATCACTATTATTGAAAAGAAAAGCAAAAAAACCCCAAACAACAAAAACAAAAAAAGCCACCTTTTTAAAAGACAACTCCTATCCTCAAGAAATTCAGGATTGTGACAATGCTTTCTTTTCAGCCCATAAGGCTGTTTCCAGGCTGTTAACCACATGACCACAACCATTTCTTTTGTTTTTTGGTGCCAAGAATTGAACTCAGGACTTTGCACTTCCCAGGCAGGCACTACGCCACTAAGCTATATCCCTGGTGCTATTTTCTCCCTCAAACTTTCATTAGTATATTTTTGATACATGGTACATACATTAATGGTGGGAGAACTGGTACATTGCATATCGCATGATGATCCTTTTTATTACTGTTTCCCTTCTATCTCCTGCACTCCCAGGACCCCTTTCCATCCTTTCAAAGAACACACTCTGATTCATCCATTGTATGCCATAACTGTTTGTTTACAAGATGATGAGGAAGATGTGACATCTGTACAAACCTGGTCATTGAACTCAATCAGGCTACACAACAGTCAGTGACATAGAAACAGGCTCAACGCCTGAACTACATGCAATAACATTTAATTTTTTCTTATTTTCAGGGATGTTTCATTTACATATTTTCATTATACTGATGCTTAAGACTGTAAGCAAAAGCACATTATAATTTTTACTGTACATTTGTAGTACATAATAATTACATTCATCATGGGAAGGTGGAACATGTGCCTAACACATCTTAAAATTCTTTTATGTTCCCTTCTCCTCCTTTCCTCAGCTCTAGCACATTTTAGACTTTGAGGACTTGAGGACTGTCTTACAGACTTGTGCTACAAACCCTTCATTAATAGGCTGCTTTGGATTATTTGAGCTACAGAATATCTACGGGTTATCTGGTTTTTCTTAGCATTTCCTCCTTTGTAAACTTCCATTTGTGGTTCTAGGAAGTCAAGAAAAGAAGTTAAGTTTTGCATAAAGTGAACAGGAAGTGGGAAAGGCTGAGAAAACTGCATGGAGGCAGACATTGTAAACCCCTGGGGGAATCTTAGATCCTTGGGCTGGGGAGTGGCAGAGTCCCTTCCACAGTGTGGTACAGACAAACCTGAGCTGGGCAGACATGGTTCATGACTTCAACCTGAAGGAGACTGAGTTGTACCAAATTCTTGTAAAAGACAAAAAAATCCTGTCATTTTGTTTTAACCACAAGTATTTATTGACGGACTGAACAATACAATTTTAATGGGACAGTAAGGCACCACTGTGGATTAAAACAGTTTGCTCTACAGCCAAAGGGGGGAAAAGCCATAATCTTAGGAACTTTAAATATGCGAACCAAGGAGCTACAGACTCCTAACAGGTCTCTATCAGACAACTCTTCCCATTCCTGTAATTCTTCTGTGACTTCACTTTAATCACGAAGCCAGACTGCTACCTCATGAAGAGTTCCTCATGCATTTATACTGTCGCCATCCAGCCTGGCCACTCCTATTCCCATTCCCCACCTTTGTCCAGCTCTTTCCACTGGTATGTTTCTGGCAGTTCCTCTCTTAAAGAGTTGTTCGCACATCTTGGAGAGCAAGGGCAACAAGCAAACAGTCAGCCACAGAAAGTCAGCCAAGGGCAGATGTACAGATGAAGGGACTCACAAGACAAAATGGCAATGGCCCGATGCAATGGGGTCTAAGCAGGCTTTGGCAGAGAAGTTGCTCAGGTTCACTCAATGGCCTTGATGCCACTAGTGCCAGATCCCTTGTCCCCAAGGGATTAGCTGTGGTCTAGACAGCAGCTAGGAAGGTCACGTAACCAGGCAGCTAAGACAATACATTCAATGCTGTAGTAGGAGCTGACTGTGGCTTCCACACTAACAACTGCCAAATGTAAAATTCATAAAGAATTCTGTGCAGAACTTCAGGACACTGAAGTTAATCTTTAGTTTTGTTGGACTGGAATAAGTTAGGCACTTCCGTGACACTAGTCACTCTACTTGGAAATGTGAAGAGAGAAACCTTCCAGTGTCCTCACACTGAGATATATGCCATGCTGCAGTGTGAGTACAGGAGGTGCTGTGGGCACCTGGTTTCCTTCCTCAGAGAGCCATGAGGAGGTCCCGACAACTGTCTGCACAGCCATTCTGGTGGTGATGGTGACTCAAAGCTAAGCAGATCTGCAGAATTATGACTACCTTCTGAATATTCAGCATGGCACTCACTAGAGAAGCCATGTTGGTTCATAAGCTGAGACTAAGAAGCCAGAGGTAGAGCAACCTGGGCAAGCCACCAAAGTGACCTTTCGAGGACATTTCCACCCAGAAGCCCTTTGATGACAAAAGTGCAAGAGACAAGAGAGGGTCACATTCTTCTAAGGGAAGTGTTGGTTCCTGAAAGCTCCATGAATGCAGCATCCCAGACACCAATTTAAGAGGAAGGTAGATAAAAACCACCAGATCCTTGAACCATCCTGCCAAGTCAGAAAGAGATTAATAGGTTGCATGGGGTGCCAGGTAGAACAGAGGGAACTGTGAGGCTCAGTAAAAAACAAGGAGGCTACAAAGCAGGCTGGGTGCAGGGAAATGGAAAGCCAAGGATGCACACCAGGACGCAGGAGAATGCCGGAATCCTGCTGCAGGGAAGGCAGCACAGCCACATCTCCACCCAGAGCTCTGCTGGCACACTCTGGGCATGATACCCTCTCACCTTTTCACACTGGATGGATCTAAGATGTTTCACAGAAGAGGGAAAGATGGTGCTGAGAAAGAGATGGAAGGCAGCTACTTAGCAGAAAGACACTGGGAGTACTCTTCTGTAAGGCAGGTTTATACACAAGGTGGGTCTGGAAGGGCAGACATTTGGGGTCATCATGCAGCAGCAGTGGTACTTCAGGAGAAGGGGAATGAAGGGATGAGGTGGGGCAGGTGGACAGGAGGACTCTTGAAGTTCCAGTTCTTAAATACTAGACAGCAAGGAATAGTTTGGTCTGTGTCCTTAGTGAAGAAACCGGATGCTCATTTTCTGTTCTACATCCACCTTCTCCAAAACCTGGAGTAAAAAATCCAAACCCAGTTATAGTCAGGAGAACAAAACCATCCCAAGTATGTTCCCAAATAATACTTTCTCCTCCCACCAGTACAATACAATTCAACTTTTTTAGAACGAGAGATAACTGACCTTAACAAACTCTGTGAAAGATATAGCACTGTCCCCATCCTGGTCAGCCTCCTGGATGGTCCTGTCTGCAATGCTACCAAGCTGCTCATCTGAGATGTTCACACCAACCATCATGCGTAGCACCTACAGGACCAAGAGGTGGGTATTGGTAGGAGCCTGAGAATCAGGGGGACTTTACTAGGATTAGAGTGAAAGCTACCCCAACTCCTTTTCCTCTGATACATTTAATGGCTAGAAAGTGAGCTTTTCTCATCTAGGCTTGCTAGACAATGAACTCAGCCAAGTCACTGAATAGGAAGGTAAGCCTAAAGGAGAGTCCTTTGCATTTTGCTGGTCCCCATTCTTCCTGCACAGGATGCAGACAGGGTATCTGGTGGCACAGCAGCCATCCTGGGGCTACGAGGTGTATCATATATGCTATGTGTGCCAGAGCAAGGCGTCTAACAGACACTTGGATAGCAGCAGTGAAGCACCTGGATATTATTCAGTTACTATACCACCTAGACAACCTATTGCCAGACTTCTATTGCATAAGGCAAACAAGATCATTTTAAGGGAACTTTCTAGAATCCTGTCCCAATACAGTCTCCTTTAGAGGAGGTGAATTAAGCCAGGCTATGACCTAAGAAACATAAAGGGTTAACTCTTCTAGGGTTACTGTACGTGCCAAGTTCTCCTCTTAGAAAAATAATAAACACCTTTTTTTTTGGAGACAGGTTATTGCTATGTATGTAGTCCACATAGGCCCAGAACTTGCTTAAGCAGGTCAAACGGTCTTCCAGCCTTTCTAGTGCTAGGATTACAAGCATATGCCACCATGCCTGCCAATAATCACATTTAAAGGACTTTCAGAATTGAGTAAAGAATTTAATACTATTTACTAAATAGTCTGTTATTAAACATAATGAAGAATCTCACTGGCCTCTGCTGGAATTGAACCCTGGGCTGTGCAAAGTGCTCTACCATTAAGCTACATCCCCAGTCCTTTTCTTTTTTTTTTTTCTTTTAAATATTTATTTATTTATTTGTTTATTTAGTGTGTGTGTGGCCAGCTCAGCCCACCAGGGGGCGGGCCTGGCTGGCATGTGGTGCTGGGGATTGAACCGCGGTCCCTGTGTTTTGCTTAGCTTAGCTTGTTCTAAGTAGGTGCTTTAGACCACTGAGCCATCTCACCAGCCCCCCCAGTCCTTTTCCCTGACCCTTTAAAAAAAAAATGTATTTCAAGATGTGGCCTCACTAAATGGTGCTGGATAGCTGGCGGGGAACTTGCCAGGATTTAAAAAAAAAATTTAGGGGCCAGGGAAATGGCTCAGTGGAATAAGCACTTCCCTGGCAAGTGCAAGGGCCTGAGTTCAATCCCCGGTTCCACCAAAAAAAAAAAAGAAATTACATATTCATTCATTTATTTGGTACAGGGTCTTGCTATGCAGCTCTGACTTGTAGTGATCCTCCTGTCTCAGCCTCCCCAGTGCTGGGATTTCAGGTGTGCACCACCATGCCATTTCAGTGGCCAGCTTGGCGTGGAGCTGGCATAGCATGCAGTACAGGGATTGAACCCAGGTCCTTGCACTTGCCAGGCAGGCTCTTGGACTGCTGAGCTATCTCCCCAGGCCCTTGCCTGACTTTTTATTTTTATTTATATGTGTGTGTGTGTGTGTGTGTGTGTGTGTGTGTGTGTGGCCAGCTCAGCCCACCAGGGGGCGGGGCTGGCTGGCATGTGGTGCTGGGGGATTGAACAGTGGTCTCTGTGCTTTGCTAAGCTTGTTCTAAGTAGGTGCTTTAGACCACTGAGCCATCTCACCAGCCCCTGCCTGACTTTTTAAAAAAAGAAGTGTTGTATTGAGCAAGAGCTCTATCACATTTCTAGCTCTTTGTTTTGCTTTCTAAGAAGGAGGACTCACTGTGTTGCCCAGGCTGGTCTCCAGATCTTAGACTCAAGTGACCCCTTGCCTCAGCCTCTCAAGTAGTTGCTATTAATCTGCATGTGTTGCTGTACTCAGCTACAAACCAGCTGGAATTTGTAAATTTTAGGTATACAATGTACAACTGAAAGATTAATAAAAAAGGGCAGATCTAGTTAAAGACCACTTGGACCAAGCCACCACTAAGGGCCTGAGTGGCCTGGATGACTTCAGTCAAGTCATCCTTGACTGAATGGTCAAACATGAATCCCTCCTCACACTGAAGCATCTTCAGATCTCAGTCCCATTATTTTGTAAGTTATTTATTTATTTATTTTTTTAAATTTATTTTGTGTGTGTGTGTGTGTGTGTGTGTGGCCAGCTCCGCCCACCAGGGGGCGGGACGGGCTGGCATGTGGTGCTGGAGGATTGAACAGAGGTCCCTGTGCTTTGCTAAGCTTGTTCTAAGTAGGTGCTTTAGACCACTGAGCCATCTCACCAGCCCCCAAGTTATTTATTTTTATTTATTTTATTTTTTTGAGACAGGGTCTCACTATGCAGTTTGGGCTGGCCTTATGCTCACTTTTGTAACTCCCAGGCTAGTCTTGAACTCACAGAGATCCTTCTGGCTCAACCTCCCAAGTGCTAGGATTACAGGCATGTGCCACCACACCACACAGTGGGCACCTGTATCTGGGGCTGAGACCGCATGGTATGTAGGGCCGGGGATCAAACTTGGGTCCTTGTGCTTGCCAGGTAGGTGTTTATGCCTCTGAGCTATTTCTCTGGCCCCAGCATTTTATTTTAGAATCCGACACCTGGGTTATGTCTATACAGGTTATAGGGCAAGCAGCAAGGGTGGGATAGTTGTGGTGCATCCTAAACGTCACTACATCTGGTCTACTAATGACCTAAGGACCAAGGACTGGTTGAACTGGGTCCCAATAACCAGAGGTAGGAGCTGTCTCCAGTTCTCCAGGCCCAGCTCTCCATTCTCAGCCTGGTTCTCCCCACCCCTATTCATGCTGCCACTCACCGTTCCTCTGGGAAGGTTGTTAGCAAGTGGAAAGGCCTATGCCACCATGCCCAGCTGGTGAGAGCTTCTGTTTTGTTTTTGTTTTTGAGACAGGGTCTTGCTACAAAGTTCAAGATGGCCTGGAACTCACTGTGTAGCCCAGGTTGTCCTTTAATTTGTGGTGATTCTCCTGTGTCAGTCTCTCAAGTGCTGGGATTATAGGTGTGCAACACCATGTCTGGCTTAGTGAGGGGTTTAGTACATACTCATTGTCAACTTAAGAAAAGTTCCTTCTATTTCTGTTTTTAGTGCTTGCTTTGGCAGCACATATATTTCTGTTTTCGTAAGTTTTAAAAAATTATGAATTAAACTTTTTACAATGGAAAAGACCAACTTTTTTCCTGTGTTAACATAGTTTTGACTGATCATTAAATTTCAAGTGCAAACACACCTTAGCTATAATAATTTAGTCTGATTTCGAAAATTATTGTATTCAGTGTCTTCCTAATTTTCTTGTTTTAATAGACAGGGTCTTGCTATGTAGCCCAGGCTAGCCTTAATTTTTTTTTTTTTTTTTTTCAGAACCTGGAATTGAACTCAGGCCCTTGCACTTGCCAGGGAAACGCTTATTCCACTGAGCCATCTTCCCAGCCCTTTAGCCTCAAATTTTTGGCAATACTCCTGCCTCAGCTACCCAAGTGCTAGGAATACAAATGTATATCATCATGTCCAACAATATTTTCTTTTATTTTATGGGGGGTGAAGGGCAGTATGGGGGAACAAACTTAGGGGTGTTCTACCACTGAGCTAGATTACCAGCCTTTTTAATTTTTGATATAGGTTGTTAATAACATCACTAAGTTGCTCAGGTTGGCCCCAAACTCATGATCTTCCTACCTCTGCATTTTGTGTAGTTGGGATCACATGCATGTGCAAAAAGTGTCCAGCTTGTTTTAGAATTTTTTATATCTAAGTGAACAAAAGAGGTTAGGATATAACTTTCTTTTCTTGTACTATATAATGTTTTTATGTCAAAGTTCTACTAACCCCATAAAATGATTAGGGAGCAGAGCAGTATCTTTATTGAAGTATAAATGATACACAACAATACCTACTTAAAAATGACCTCCCCAAAAATTAAAAAGAGAACCAATCTTCCAACAGTTAAACCAGGATACTTTACAAGAGTCATATTAAGAAAACATGACTCACTGGGCATGATGGCACATGCCTGTAATGCCAGCACTCAGGAGGCTGAGGCAGGAGAATTGCTGCAAGTTTGAGGCCATCCTGGCCTACATAGAGTTCAAGGGTAGCCTGGACTACATATTGAGAGCCTGAACTATACATATTGACACCTGTCTTATAAACACAAAACAAAATGAAACATGACCTGTCCTTAAACTTGCCCCAAACTTTTTTTTTTTTTTTTGCGGAACTGGGGATTGAACTCAGATCCTTACGTTTGCCAGTCAAGCGCTTATCCTACTGAGTCATCTCCCCGGTCCAAACTTGCCCCAAACTTTTTAATATCCACCGAGTTACTAAGAATTGCAAATTACCAAATGCTTGGCCAGCAATATATTTCAGCAGACTAAGCGCTTGCCTAACTAGGGACTGGGGTTCAATCCCTGGACCACATGCTGCACTAGCCCCGCCCTCAGGTGCACTGAACTGGCCACAGAGTTTGAGTGTAGTGGCAAGTGCCTGTAATCCCAGTGCTGGGGAAGCTGGAAACAGGAGGATCACTACAAGTCCAAGCTGCATAGTGAGACCCTATGCAAAATACATAAATAAAATAAATAAAGAAAGAAATTGCAACATCTAGAAAGATGAACTTTATTCTCTCACTTTGGCAAAACGTTCATATCTTCTTCATGCTTGGATAGAACTAGTGGTCTGGCACCTCAAAGTCTAGGGGTACAGTTTCCTCAGTCATTCTGGGGCCAGACCCTCAAGTGCTACCAACAGGGACCACCCTCTCCCCTTACTCCTGCTGCAGGCCTCTCTTATCCTTGTAATAGAACTAAGTCAGTCCCCACCCCCCACTCAGAACATCTTGGCATCCAGAGCTGGGCCAGAGGATGAAAATGTGTAGCTACAGAGTGACTGTTATCTCCTCTCTCCAGACCTCAGGAGCCCATGTATAGCAACTCCCAGTCAGACAAACCCTTTGAGAAACAGTCAAATCAGCTTGTATTTCTACTTCTTTGCACTGAGATACCCACCCAGAACTTTTTAATTTTGCGACAGGGGTCTTTTATAAAATGATTTTTTTTTTAAAAAAGCATTTATTTATTTGGTACAGGGTCTCACTACGCAGCTTGGACTCACAGTGATCTTCCTGTCTCAACCTCTCAATGCTGGGATTACAGGTGGGTGCCACCATGCTTGCTTTTGGTGTCCAGCATGGCATATGTGGTACTGGAATTGAACTTGGGTCCTTGTGCTTGCCAGGCTGGCACTTAGACTGCCGAGCTATCTCCCCAGCCCAGATACTCACTTTTTTTGGTAATACAGACATCTGTGAATAACTATTTTCAAGGGTGAGGCACATGAAGACTAAAATTAGGTCAGTAATTTTTTTTGAGGGTCGACCAAATAAAATAGCTCAGCTGATTTAAGCACCTGCAAGCAGGTGTGCAGGGACCAGAGCTTTAATCCCTGGGCCTGCCGTGCTGGCCCCACCCTCAAAGCACTGCTGAGACAGCAATTGAGACTGGGAGGCAATTGAGACTGGGTGTGGTTGCGCATGCCTATAATCCCAACTCTTAGGAGGCTGTAAACAGGCAGATCACTACAAGTCTGATCTAGTAGTGAGACCCTTAGCACCCTGTAGATCCTTCTCTAAAATTAAAAAAAAAAAAAAATTTAAATTTTTTTTTTTTGACATAGTGAGTGTGGTGGGACACACCTATAATGCCAGCATTCTGGGAGAAGGCTGAAGCAAGAAAGTGAGTTCTAGTCTAGCCTGGGCAACTGGGAGATCCTGTCTCAAAATAGAAAAGGGCTGTGGATGTAGCTCAATCCAAAGGTCCAGGATTCAATACCTTGTATTACAAATAAAAATAACTACAAGGGGCCGGGGAGATGGCTCAGTGAAATGAGCACTTCCCTGGCAAGGGCAAGGACCTGAGTTCAACCCCTGGTTCCAACAACAACAACAAAAAATAAATAAATAAAATAAAATAACTACAAATGAAGAAATAACAAAAAAGTTTTGTTACATATATATTACATACATTACTTAGACCTAACTACATTACGTATTTTATAGGTGGCCCAAGATAATTCTCTTGATCTTTTTTTTTTTTTTAAATTATTTATTTTTATTTATTACATTTATTTATTGTGTGTGTGTGTGGCCAGCTCAGCCCACCAGGGGGCGGGGCTGGCTGGCATGTGGTGCTGGGGGATTGAACCGCGGTCCCTGTGCTTTGCTAAGCTTGTTCCAAGTAGGTGCTTTAGACCACTGAGCCATCTCTCCAGCCCCAATTCTCTTGATCTTGCTCATGCAAGCCAAAAGGTTGGACACACGTGATCTAAACCCATGTCACACATTTCAGCTGTTAGTCAGCACCTGGGGCATACAGTGAGCTTTTAAACAGTGGAGATGTGTCTGGGATGACTCAATGAACCATTTCAAATCTTCCCAGGGAATATGTATGCTCCCCCTTTTATCTAGTGCAGGACTCTGAACACAGTAGGTGTTAAATGCTTGATGAGAGAACAATTTCTGCCCACAAAAATATGCAGCCAGCACCCAAAATGAAAGTTTCCCTGGAGTGCTCCCACACACCTGTAACAGCTCGTCACGGGAGATCTTGTCATCTTTATCCAAATCGTACAGCCGGAAAGCAACTGGTAGGGAAAAACTGGAGTTAGTGAACTTCTGTAGTGTTCTACCCCTTCTTAAGAAACTAAACATGTACAGGACAGACAGCATGTAGAACACTGATAGCCAGCTAACAGGTTTCCCAAAACAACTGCCATGGCATATAGGACTTTACTTTGTAGCAATTAAGAAATGGACACTTGGCCAGGCCTGGTGGCCCATGCCTATAATTCCAGTACTCAGGAGGCTGAGGGAAAAGGACTGAAATGAGTTTAAGGTCAGCCTAGACAATACAGTGAAACTCTCACTCAAAATACTTAAAAGAAAAAAAAAAGAAAGAAAGAAAAAAGGGCCAGTGAGAGCTCACAGACTAAGCGCCTGCCTTGGCAAGTGCAGGGACCAGGGCTTGATCCTGTCCCACACACTGCCCTGGCCCTGCCCCAGGGGTTCAGTGCTGGGGAGGCTGAAAACAGGAGGATCACTACGAGTCCGAGCTGTGTAGTGAGACCCTGTACCAAATACATAAGTAAAAGAAAAAAAAAAAAAAAGCCCAGGATGACCTATCTGTCTCATGTTTCTCTAACAACAGAAAAGCTTTCTGGAAGACAGTGGCCATGAGAGTGCTTTGCTTATGCCCCTGTAAGAGAAAGAATTAAAAACAAAACAGAAAACCAAACTAAAACAATCCCAAACAAAAAATAATAAAAGCAAGAAAGAAAAAAGAAAAATAATTCAGGAGAGCACTAACTATTATATTTTTGTGAAGTCACTGACCAGGAACTCTGTGAAAACAGGCTAACACTGATGACTTGCTGGGCACTGTGAGAAAGTGTCACGCTGAGTTCAAGTAGGTGGCTAAGACCTGTGGTCATTCACAGGGAGCTGCTGATACAGTCCCTCACAGGCCCTCCACTGCTCCAGAGTTAGTAAAACCTCCAATCTGGTGGACCACACCTACACGTTACCCACCCTAGGGTGAGGCCACTAAAAGCTGAAATAAAAATAGAACAACTGTTTTAAAAATTAGGATTTTTTTTTTAAATTTTAAGGAAGTGTCTACAGGGGATCCAGGGTCTCACTACTAGTCCACAGCCTTCCAAGAGCTGGGATTATAGGCGCACGCCACCACGCCCACTCTCAGTTGCCTCTCAGGGCACTGGGGGCAGGGCCGGCATGGCATAGGAACATTTTTTTAAAAAATTAGGTAAACTTAATTTACTGTTTTTAAAATATGTAGCAGAATTCTGTAGGGAGACAGTAGCTGGGACTTTTTCAAATTTTTTTTCTTTCAATTTAATTAGCTGAAAAACTACCTTTTTTCTTTTCTTTTTTAGCAGTACTGAATACAGTAGTCAGAGATACTCTTCCATTGAACTACATCTTCAGCCCTTTTTCTTTCTTTTTTTTTGAGACAAGGTATTAGGAAGTTGCTAAGATGCACAGGGTTAGGCACAAACTTGAGATTCCTTTGCCTCAGACTCTCTGAATGCCGGGATTACAGACAGGGATGTGCCACTACATCAGTTTGAGCTATGACTTTTTATTTTTTATTTATTTATTT